ACCTGTCGATCTCAATATCGATCTCACTCAACAGCACACCACGGGACACAACGGGACACCTCGGGGCACCACGTCGATCTCACTATCGATCTCACTATCGATCTCACTGTCAATCTCACTATCGATCTCACCCAACGGGACACCACGGGACACCAGGGACACCTGCGGGACACCGCGGGCCACCGGCCGCTGGAGGAGTTACATGTGGTCCGGCCGCGGCCCAGCCACAGGAGGATTTCGGGACACCCGCGGGACACCAGCGGGACACCGCGGGGCACCGGCCGCCAGAGGAGTTACATTTGGTCCGGCCGCGGCCCAGCCACAGGAGGATTTCTTCTCGCCCGCCCACGCAGCTTCGCCTTGCCCGCACGCACGGCACGCACGACACGAACCCGAAACCGAAGTCGATTTCCTGGTGGGGGGGGTCTCCGTTTCACGTCGGACTCACCCCCCGACCTCCGATATATGTATATATGGAGAGAGAGAGAGAGACAGACAGAGAGAACCAAACACTTAATTGATGGTAAATACAGGAGGAGAGATGCGGAGTAGAGAGTAGAGAGAGAGAGGAGAGAGAGAGAGATCTATATACATACATAAATATACACAAATGTATATGTATATACTGTAAAGAGAAAGTGCGTGTATGTATTACATCTGTATGTATGGATATATCGGAGGTTGGAGGGTGAGTCCGACGTGTAACGGAGACCCCCCCTACCGGGAATTCAATTTTGGTTTTGGGTTCATGTCGTGCGTGCCGTGCGCGCGTGCGGGCGAGGCGAAGCTGCGTGGGCGGGCGAGAGGAAATCCTCCTGTGGCTGGGCCGCGGCCGGACCAAGTGTTTCTCCCCGGCGGCCAGTGGCCCGCGGTGTCCCGCCAGTGTCCCGCTGGTGTCCCGAAATCCTCCTGTGGCCGGGCTGCGGCGGACCAAATGTAACTCCTCCAGCGGCCGGTGGCCCGCGGTGTCCCGCGGTGTCCCGTCGTGTCCCGTGGTGTTCGCCGTTGCTAGGGCGAAGTCAAGACAAATGATTCTCCCCCGCCCGCCCGTCTGGCGGTGGCTCGCGGTGTCCCGCGGTGTCCCGTGGTGTCCCGTGGTGTCCCGTGGTGTCCCGTTGAATGAGATCGATAGTGTGATCGATATTGAGATCGATGTGGTGCCCCGAGGTGTCCCGTGGTGACCCGTTAAGTAAGATAGATTTTTAGATCGATAGTGAGATCGACAGGTGTCCCGTCGTGTCCCGTGGTGCCCCGTTACATGAGAGCGATGGTGTGATCGATACTGAGATCGATAGTGAGATCGATGTGGCGTCCCGAGGTGTCCCGTGGTGTTCCGTGATGTCCCGTGGTGTCCCGTTGAGTGAGATCGATAGTGAGACCGATAGTGTGATCGAGAGGTGTCTCGCGATGTCCCGTGGTGTCCCGTAATGGCCCGTGTTGTCCCGTGGTGTAACGTTGAGTGAGATCCCGTGGTGTCCCGTGGTGTAACGTTGAGTGAGATCGATAGTGAGACCGATAGTGAGATCGACAAGTGTCCCGTGGGGGCCCGTGGTGTCCCGTGGTGTCCCGTTGAGTGAGATCGATAGTGAGATCGATTGAGTCAGATGTTGTTTCCCCCCCCTCTCCCCGCCCACAACCTCCTCAACACCCGAAGGTTGGTCGAATGGATATATATACAAGCTTTTTTACGCAGGAAGGCATGGGGAGTGAGACATGTATATATATGACGAGAGAGAGAGAGAGAGAAAGAGAGAGAGTCTGAGAGAGAGAGAGACAAAATATAGAGGAACATATAGCAACTAGACTGGACTAGTACGCTAGGGCGGCCAGCGAAACATCCAAAATCCACTGATTGGGGTTTCCCCTGGTGTACTGACATAAACAGCGCGCGGAGTTCCCGGATCTGCGTTGGACGCCCCTCCCTGGCGCAGGGTGCGCGCCAGGGACGGCGACGGAGGCGCCGACAGTGGGCTTCAGCGCCGATCCGAAGAATCCGCGCGGACCTCGGAATTTTTATGTTCGTGTCATTGTTCGTTCCCCTGCCGCAAACAGTGGAGTCCGACATGTTCGTTGTGTCTTGGGCTCCGCTTTCGGGCCTCAAGGCACTCGGGATGAAGAGCCAGCCCTGGGGAGGGAGTATGGAGAGGCCATGGCCCCGAGACCGGGATCGATCTCGAGCCGTCGGAGGTGTAGGCGCACGCGGGCACGGAGCGCTGGACCCCTTCCCCGAACGTGTTGTTCGAGCCCTGTGTATTGTCATTTTGACCGAGATTCGGCGGCGCGCCCGGAGGGGAGGTGAGAAGGAGCAGGCTTTCTCAGAAGGCCGCAGGGCTTCTCAGAAGCCCTGCGCCAGGCCATGTTGACACAGATCGGGGAACCAAGAATGGCATAAACATAAAATTCCGCGGTCCGAGCGGATTCCTCGGATTGGCGCTGGGGCACCTTGGCGGCGCCTCCGCCGCCGCTTCTGTCGCGCTCCGCATGCCAGTGGGGGGGGGGGGGGCGCGCCGATCCGAGGAATCCGCACGGACCTCCAAGTCTCTATGTTCGTGTCATTGTTTGTCTTTCGACATGTTGAAAGAGACGCTGGTTGTGCAGCTCGGTTGGTGCACGTTCAAGTATGCGCAGGTGGGCACAGTGGCTGCGCGTGGAACCGCGGAGTTTCAGGAGATGCCGGGAGGAGAACAGAGCAACCAAACAAAAACATATGCAGTTGCCATGGTCGGGGCGCAGGTAACGCGGATCAGCCTTCATGGGGGTCAGCCAAATCCCATGTGATCCACTCTGGCTGACCCAGCATTGCATCTTTGCTTGTTCGGCCCCTCATGTTCCTGCTCGGGCCACCCGTGCCCCCTCGGCCCGTCATTGCCAGATCGCCCAAACGATGTTGTATAGGTGTTTCCGATCCTTACTATTACATCGTGGTTGCAGTGTTTTACCATATTCCAAGTTTCTAGACCTCCGACGTCTTCTATATTGAATCGCTTCGTTCATTCCGCCGGCCCGTGATATGGCATCGCTGGTTTTTGTCTGTGTGTTCGTTGCCCATGTTGCGCTCTTGGGGGCGGGTGTCGTTCGGACGCGTTGCGTGGGGAGTTTTAATGGTGAAGCAGTTCCCTGGGGGTCGTCTCTCGATGGGGCGAAATAGAGTCGTCGTCAAGATGCTTCTTTGGGGGGCCTCTTGGGGTCTGTTGAGAGGCCGTTCGGGGGCGCCTGGGAGACATGTTTGAAGCCTTCTGGGGCTTCTTTTGGGCCTCCTGGGAGTCTCCTGGGGCCTCTTGGCGACATCTTGGGGCCTCTTGGAGGCCTCTTGGGGCCTCTTTGGGACCTCCTGGGCGCCTTCTGGGACGGAGGGCTCCATTTTTGAGTTCTCGGTATCCCTCCTGAGTCCCTCTTGGGCCCGTCTTGGGGCCTCTTGGTCCGTCTTGGGCGGCACTTGGGCCGTCTTGAGGGCTCTCTTGGGTCGTTTCGGCGCCGTCTTGGGAGCTTCGTGGGCCGTCTTGGAGCGGTCTTGGGGGCCTCTTGGGCCGTCTTGGAGCGTCCGGAAGCCGAAAAAGCCAGAACACAAAAAACATCGAAAAAACCAATGAAAATCAACGATTTTGGCCTCTTGGGGCTCTCTTCGGAGGCCTCTTGGAAGGCTCTTGGGGCGTCTTGGAGGCCTCTTGGGCTGTCTTGGGGGCCTTTTGGGCCGTCTTGGGGTCATCTTCGGCGTCTTCGAGCGCTCTTTGGGCGTCTCGGGGGCCTCTTGGGCAGTCTTGGGGGCCTCTTGGGGCACTCTGAGCGCGCTCTGGGGAGCCTGAGAGGCCGCACCCAGAAGGAAAACCATCTCTGAGTAGACTTGGTCGGGCGGCGACCGGGCGTTGGTCGGGGTACTTTTCGCCGGGGGACCCCCAGGGGCCGCCCCGCGCGCGCGAACTAGAAATACTGTTAATACTGTTAACCAGTTACCGGAGATCTTATCACGCCCTGGCCCGTTGGGCCGGCGAATTTCTTAAGCACGTGGGTCGCTGAGCTCTCGACCCCAGGTAGTTTTACGGCCCAGCTATCGGACGCGGGTTCGCAGAGGCCCAAGACATCGAAGAGCCGCCCGTCGTTGCTTCTTCACGACGCCTGGGCCTCGAAGTCGACCCCTGGGCCTGTCCTGGAGCGCATCCTGGCCAGAACCTCGAGACGAATCGGGCTGCGGCGACGAGAACGCCCAAGGAAGCATAAGCATACCACCACAGGAGGTGTCAAACCCTCGGGCGTCGATCCTGGGCAACCGGGGCGAGCGCGTCGTCACGGGGGGCTGGGGGGGCCTGGAGGGGTCGGCGCGTTTCTGGGCAGCCTCCTTGAGGGCGACGGAGGGCATCGTGAAGAGAGGGAGGAAGACGCAGAGGAGGGACAAGGAGCATGATGAGCGGGACGACGGCGGCGGCGACGACAATAAGTGCAATGATGATGAGGAGGAGGAGGAGAAAGAGGGGGAGGTGGAGGATGATGTGTCCTCTTCGCTACAACCATGACGGGTAAGATCAGCAGCCTGATGCGGAAGAGGTCGCAAATTACATTTCATGCACATGTGTATCTGCGCGTTGCCCTGCAATCGGCATGTCCTGGCAGGACACAGGTCGAGGCTGGAACAGAAAATGTGCAATGGACGAGCCTGGCGGCGGCGAAGCGTGCTAGAGCGATGTGTGAGACGAAAGGAAGATCGTCTCAGGTGCAGCTGCAGGGAGAGCCCGGCCGTAACAGGGAGTAGCGCCAGGCCCGAAGGCAGGGCACGAGTGAACGGCGAAGCCAGGGGACCGACGAAGAAGACGGGGAACCACAGGAAGGGGGGGAATCCGGACGGCGAGGAAGTTGGGAGGGCGACGAACACGTCGCTCGTCGGTTCAGCGACGAAGGAAGAGGAGGAGGAGGAGGAGGAGGAGGAGGAGGAGGAGGAGGAGGAGGAGGAGGTGGAGGAGTGACAGCACACAGCTCCCTCCCGCGGCGGGGCCCCGATCCCCCGCCAGGCCATGCCGCGCTGGGCGCCCATTTCGCCGCAAGGTTCCGATGCGTCGCCCGCGCTCCCGGCCTAGCTGAGCCCCAGCCCGCGATCGGCGAGACGGGCAGTGTAAGGGGTGGTCGGGCGGGGCTAAAACCGGGATAAATCGTTCCAGAGCGTTCCGCAAGGCTCTCGCAGCCTTCCAGAGCGCTCTGCAGCGGCCGCGGCTCGGCGCCCGATACATCCTCCAGAACAGCCGGACATCAGAGATCGATGTCTCCTTCCTCTCTCCTCCTTCCTCCCTCCTCCCTCCTCCTTCCTCTCTCCTCCTCCTCCTCCTCGATCCTGGGGGCCTCCACGAGGCCCCCCCGTGGGCGGTTGGTTGGGGTTCGTGGTGGTTTTTGAGGGCGTGCGGCCTCTGGAGGCTGCATGCCCAGAAACTGTTTTTGAGTTTAAACTCCACCTTGTGGCGCGCCACACAGGCGCGCCCCAGACGGCGCTGCGATGCTCGACGCGTCCTCCTGCCGAGTCGATCCGATCCTCCTCCTCCTCCTCCTCCTCCTCCTCCTCCTCCTCCTCCTCCTCCTCCTCCCCCTCCTCCATTCATATTCAGTATAGATGATTTCTCTCTGTCGAGCGGGCCAGGTGCTTCGCCTGATAACTCCTCACCATCCATTATCCTGAAGCGTGAAATTCGAAATAGTTGCATGGACAGCCGAAGCGCCGCGCACATGGAGCTCTCGTCAAAGCGCCGCGCGTAGTTGTCTTAAACGGTTGCAGTAATGACTTTCAAGACTGGGTCTCTCGCCTTAACGCCGCGCACGGTCTCCGTAAACGCTCGCAATAAAATCTGAACGCGTCGGTACGCAGAACGATTAAATATGGCCCTGATCTGCATATGATGACAGTGCGGTTTTCTAAGTTGCGTTCTCGCCCTAGCGCCGCACATTTTCGTTTCAGAAATGTCGCAGTGGTTACGCGCATGGAACAAAGGTTTGAAATGGGGGCTCGCGCGTTAGCGCCGCGCACATTCCTTTCAAAGCCCGTAGTTCGTGTAAGGAAAGGGGCGCGTCTTTTTCACAATGGGGCTCTCGTGGTAGCGCCGTGCACAGTTGTTTCCAAAGTTGCAAAAGTTGCAGAGATGGGGGACGTCGCGTTCTCAATGTGGGACTCTCGTTTGAGACAGAGTTGACTTAAAGACCGGAGGCTTCAACGTAGTAGCTGCACTGATGCAGTGCGGATGTTTGTAAACATGGGGCCATTGTTTGACATGTCCCCGAAGTTCGTGACCACAATTTTGACCTTGCACAACGGTTTCACAGATGGGGGCGGGACTTGTCAAAGCGGAGGTATCGCTGGATACCTTGCTGAATTACATGGTCATGCCTATTCGCATTCTTGACTACAGGCTAGAAGGATGCAGCGTACTTCTTTTTCACAATGGGGTTCTCGCCTTAATGGCAGGCCCACGTGGCGCTCCTTGTAGCGAAAAGGAAGGCAGGGAGGAACGGATGAGGATGGGATTTGGAGCGGACGAATGAATTTCAACATCGTTGATGCATCTTAGGCTGACTATTTTCCTCCTCCTTCTCCTCGGCCTCCTCCGCCTCCTCCCGATTACGCTGCCGCTGCATGTCGTGACAGAGACATACCCCGCTGCACTGTCGTTGCGCTGCACTCCTCCTCCCCACTGCAGAAGTATTTCGTCACACTTGCACTGCCGTTGCATGCCCGAGCTCACATATCAATGTTTGATTTTTCGCAGGAGAAAAATATGATTCCTCCCAAGTAGGAATGCCGAGCATGCTCTCTGGGTGGAGGGCATAGGGTGGAATTCAAATGCCGGCTGGCCTCAACTATTGCCACCCATCAGTTTTTCCACAAGACCGTCGCGGGCAAATTGCGGCAGCGGGGTGAGCGAGACAGTCTGTGCCGACGCAAGCTTACGCCGAGCGGACGCAGCGCCCGATTGCACGAAGGGCCGCTTGGGGCTCCAATCAAGACTGTCTCCAGTCGCACTCAGACCTTGGAAGCTCGACCGACGGCATGATGTACACGAGTTCACGTATCTTTCTTGAACTAGCACAAGAAACTCTAACGCTTCGCGTTACCCAACCAGCCCATCCAGAAACGATGCCCTGGCGAATTGACCTGATCAGGCATGTGGGGGAGCACGCAATGTAATCAAGGTTGGGAAGCCGTCATAACCCAAAAGGGGGAGAATAGAGGAAGAACCAGAGGAGGGTGAGGAGCAGGAGCAGGAGGAGGAGGCGGAGGAGGAGGAGAGGAGGAGGAGGAGGAGGCGGAGGAGGAGGGAGGAGGAGGAGAGAGGAGGAGGAGGGAGGAGGAGGAGGAGGAGGAGGAGGACGACGACGAGGAGCAGGGAGAGCAGGGGGGGGAGGAGGGAGAAGGGAGGAGGAAGGAGGAGGATTAGGCGGATGAGGGATCGGAGGAGAAGCAGGAGGAGGGCGAACAGAAAGGCCAGAGATCTCTTGGATGTTTCTCGGGCTCTCTTAGGATGACTCTCCAGAGCTTCTTGCCAGCCTGATGGGTCCTCTTGGGGGCCTCTTGTCGGCCCTGGGGGCCTCTTGAAGCGTCTTAGGTGCCTCGGGGGGGACCTCCGGAGGCCTTTTGGAGATCTCTTGGGAGCCTCTTGCGGGCATCTTGGGGGCATCTTGGGGGCCTCTTGGGGGCTTCTCGGGGCCTTCTGGGCGCCTCTTGGGGCCCTCTTGGGGCACTCGGGAGCCTCGGAGGCCATCTTAGACGTGATCGATCAAAGAAGAGGGGCTACTCAATTAGCGTCCCCCTCCCTAGGAAGTCAAAATTGGTCCAAAACCGTATCAACATCAATGATTTTGCCATTCCCGCCGTGGCCATCTTGAACGCTCCAACCCCTCGCGGGGTGCCCCGCCCAGGTTCAGGGAGAGGAGGTACGGAGAGGGACAAACCCTTCCCAAAAGGGGGAGAAGGGGGGCTGGAAGAGGAAACTCCCTAAACCACCCACGACCTAAAGGGCTGGCTGGATTCTAGAACGGCGAAGCGAACTATAGAACGCAAAACAAAGTTGTAGAACCTTCACGTGCGTTTTAGAATCGCAAAAGTCATTATACGCAACGCCAAATTCTATAATCCCATATAGCACCACACGCAGACACACAATAGTTCTAGAACGCCCGAAATAGTTCTAGAAAAACATATGTTCTAGAATCCGAAAGGCGGTTCTAGAATTCTGGATTCACCTGTCGGGCGACTTTCGCATATTCGTTCACCTGTCGGACGACGTTCGCGTGCTCGTTGACCTGTCGGGCGCCAGTCGCGTGCTCGGAGGACCCCGCGCGATCGCTCCCAGACCATGGGAGGGGCCCAGAAAGCCAGGGAAAGACTTGACGATTTATCCCATGAAGAAGCGCCGCAATGGTGCAGCAGTTGGAGCTCGACGCCGCGCCCACGCATGCTGGACTTTCCTAAGTCCTGCACCCAGAGAAAGTGCCCATTAAAGAAGCACCCCCCCAGTGGTGACGCCTTTGGCATTGCGTGGGAGAGGGACAGGATGGGCCCTGCAGTGCGATCGAAACAAGTCGCGCTGGGTGCATCTCCAGCCTCCCGGGGCCCGGCGCGCCAGGGCCATCAGCAATCGATCGTGCAACATTGGCCAGAATGAGCCCAGGGAGGGGTCGGAAGGCATATTTTGGGTGGAGTTTGGTCGGGAGGGTGAGCGGAGAGAAGCTTCGAGGCGTACTCGACACGGGGCCTCCAAATCGACGGCATCGAGGGTTTGGAGACGTCAAGCGTCAAGGCCCTTTGGGGGGCCTCGGGAGGCCTGCGGCTCCCAGGAGCTTCGGAGGCCTCTCCGTGGAAAGCCGTCCGAGGCCTGGCCGGCCCCAGGAGGCGCCAGGAAGGCCCAGGAGGCGCCGGGAGGGCCCAGAGGGGGGATGGGGGGGGGGGGAGGGAGGGAGGGAAAGGTCGAAGGAGGAGAATCTGCATGGGCATAAAACTCTGGGAGGTCCGTGCGGATTTCTCGGATCTGTGCTAGGCCTCCCTGGCGGCGCCTGCGGCGCCATCACTGGCACGCTCGGCGCGCCAGGAAGGGCGGTTCCAGCGCCGATGCAAGGAATCCGCGCGGACCTTCGAAAGTAAGAAGGAGGCAGACAGAGGGGAAGAGGAGGAGAGGAGAGATGAGGAGGGAGGACGGGAGAGAGGAAGAGGGAGAGGGAGGGAGAGTAGGAAGGACGGGGGAGGCTGATTTTAAGAGGTTTCAGGGGTTCGGGGGGGATCCAGAGAGGGCTGTAGAGGGTCCTGTGGGTTCAAGAGAGGGGTCAGAGGGAGGCAGGCCCAGATGGAGAGAGCGAGGGCAGAGGGGAGACGAGTGATGGATGTGAGAGGATGGGGGCACAGGCGCGAGCAAGTGAGTCACACGCTTTGCATCTGGTGGTAGCAATGTAGCTGCCTGATCGTATCCTCCCGCAGGGACGGGCCATCTGACGCCATGACTACTTCACGACGTTTGCCCAGAGCTCTCGACCTCCGTGGGGCCCATTTTGCTCGCGGGGGTCGTGCTGTGATGGCCCTGGCGTCCGAAAGCAGCCCCCATGTGCCCAGACTGCCAGAAAAAAAACAGCTGAGACGCCCGACCTATTTTTTTTGGCGACGCCCGGAGGCCAGGAGCCCGGGTCTCGAACTCGAACCCGTGGGCATGTCCCCGTTTGCGTTGTGGTCAGAATCTCGAAGCGGACCCGGCCGTGGCGACGAGGGCGCCCCGGGAAGCCCAAAAGCATTCCATCTTCCAAGCTCGACCCTGGGCTATGCCAGACCTCCGATGTCGCGTTTGTTTATTATTGTCAATGTGGGGTCCCTGAAAGTTCCCACGAATGCAGTGAGCTGGCGTTTCGCCCCGACTCGTCTTTGATTGTCCCGGTGCCCAGTAACGACCCCCAGACGCCGAAAAGTGCGAAAATCCTCCACCATGTGTTTTTCCAGGACGTTGAAAGTCTAGGATCGTGGTGAGAAGGACTAGGGGCAACGTGATGGGGGGATGGGCAACGTGATGAGGGGATAGGCTCAGGGGTGGATGCATCGACCCCCAATCGCCCAATGATATGGGCCCGATAGCCCACCTCGTCCAGGACCGTGCGGATTCGCTATCGAGGGCCTATCGCCGATCTATCGGCGATGTATCGCCGATCCCAGGCAGAGGGTTCCCCTCCCTGAGCTGGTCCATCCTTGATGTTCCTTTTTACCAAGGTTCTTCACGCCGATGTCCATGGCCAGTTCCTCGCCCATGGCAACGGCCTCGCTGAACGCGGCGGCGGCTGCCGCCGTGCTTGCGGGCTCGTCGCAGCCCGCCAAGGCGGCCAGAGCTCGCTGAGGAGAAGGAGCACGAGCGTAAGTGGACTGACACGGAGAAGGAGGACGAGGAGGACGAGAGTAACTGGACTGACGAGGAGGAAGAGGAGGAGGAAGAGGGGGAGGACGAGGAGGAGGAGGAGGAGGAGGAGAAGAACTTGCAGTGACAGCGACAGAAGGAGGAAGAGAATAAGGGAGGACGAGAAGCAGGCGCAGTATCGGATAAGGGGGGAGGAAGAAGAACAGAAGAAGGAGGGGGTGGAGGTTCTCTTCGTCCTCTCCTGCTCCTCCTCCTCCACCTCCTCCTCCTCCAACTCCTCCTCTTCCTCCAACTCCTCCTCCTCCTCCTTCTCCTCCTCCTCCTCATCCTCATCCTCCTCCTCCTCCTCCTCCTCCTCCTCCTCCTCCTCCTCATCATCATCATCATCATCATCATCATCACCACATGAAGCGCACCTTCCGTCTCGTGACCTTCATGGCCAAGTTTCTGGCTCGGGTCATGCGGACAGCGGGCCCGAGCCAGCAGGATGCGCCGCGACACGGCCTCATTCGGCGGTGCGCAGCAGCAAGGGCGCATCCCCGAGCTGACGGCGGACACGGCGCCGCCCGACGGCTCCCACGAGCCTGTGCCTTGTGGAAAGGGCTTCCGGTGCGCGCGCTGCTATCGCGTCGCGAGGGCGCGCGACGCCTTCCTCCCCGCGGTGTGCGCCCCAGGAGGGGGCCACCGTGTGTGGAGCACGGGCCCCTTCCTTTTCTGCGCGAGGTGCGGGGCGCACTCGAGTGCGAACGCCCAGCTCCTCGCACAGCCTTGCCTTGGGGCCATTCCCCCACAGGCGCGCCCCCGTCTGGGGCGCCTGTTGGCTGGGCAGCACCCGCGTCCTGGCCTGCCGCTGCTGCCCTCGGCCAGCGGCCAGGTTCGGCTACGGCTGTTCGCGGCCTTCGTCCTCGACGCCCTGGTCGGAGACTTCGCGGCGAGTGGGCCCCTGGCCGCGCTTGCTGGTCCTCCCGTTGGGGGGTGCTCGGGCACCCTTTCTCCCTTTCGGGCTCGCGCCCGAGTTGCCTAGCCGTGCCCGCACGCTAGCCGCCGCGTTTGTTGGAATTTCCTCTTCCTCCTCCTCCTCCTCCTCCTCCTCCTCCTCCTCCTCCTCCTCCTCCTCCTCCTCCTCCCCTTGAGTTGGCCAGACCTTACGCTTACGCGTGTTGCGGTATTCCTCCTCCTCCTCCTCCTCCTCCTCCTCCTCCTCCTCCTCCTGTTCCTCCTCGTCCTCCTCCTACTCACGCCAGAGTCGTTCCGACAGTCCCCGCCCTCTGAGTGCAACCCAACCCCCATCCAGCGAGCGGCGGCTGCCCGTTTCTTACGCTTCACTCCAGAGAGTTACTTAGCGGAGACTGCATTCGCGGTGAAGACAGCGCTGATGGCCGCAGGCGCGCCCAGCCATGAGGAGGAGGAGAAGGAGGAGGAGGAGGAGGAGGACGAGGACGAGGAGGAGGACGAGGAGGAGGAGGAGGAGGAGGAGGTGGCTGTTGTTGCTCCTGCTGTTGCTGTTGCTGCTGCTGCTGCTGCTGGTGCCGAGTCGGGGGACGATGGACAGTGTCGCGGGTATCGAGACCGCAAGCATGTAATTGAGCGCTTCGGGAGTGCTGTCGTGTGCCTCTCCGTTGGCGCTTACTCCATATGCCAGGACAGGAGCCCCAAGTTGTTGAAAGAGCGCAAAGGTCAATCTGATGCGGCCAGCACGCGCGCGAATGAGGAGCAGGCCAGCTCTCGCACCATGCGCGCATTGCACCCACGCCCTGGTAACCCCTTGCCTGCGTGATGCGCACTCGCATCGGTCTCCGCCCCTGTGTCTGCGAGCGCGTTGGGGGCAATTGCGCGTGTATGAACTGCGCTCGGTGGCCTGACTTCGAGGCTGATCCACAATTACTGTCGTCTCCAGCTGGGGCGCCCCCGTTGACTCGGCCGCGCCTTCCATCGTGCGGGGCCTCCTCCTCATCGTTCCATTATCCGTACGGGCTTCGCCCCCTGGCGCCGACCCCTCCTCTCTCGGCGCTGCCTCGGCGCACCTGGGAACATCATGCGGGGGCGGATAGGAACCAGCAGCGCATATTGAGAGATTGACGTTATCGAAGACGCTCACGGCGAATCACCGCCGCCCCCTGTCCTTGTGGAAGCGCCTATGTGGCCGACAGCTGGACAAGAGCTTGGCCAAGCTATCGAGCCAGTTGTTTGCCGAATCGGTTTGGAAAGCCTTCGGGTAGCGCGCGGGGGGGCAAGAGGTTTGAAATCGCCCATGTGTCCGAGCGTTGTGACAAGAGCTCTGCCAAGCTATCGGACCATGTGTTCCCCCAACCGTCGTGGAAACCCTTCGGGGAACATGTTGGGGAGGATGGCGGGGAAGATCACGTGGAGGAGGAGGGGGAGGAGAAGGAGGAGGAGGAGGAGGAGGAGCCGAAAAAGGAGGAGAACATCAGGAGGAGGAGGAGGAGGAGGAGGGCGAGGAGAAGGAGGAGGAGGAGGAGAAGGAGGAGGAGGAGGCGGTGGAGGCATCTTGGGAGCCTTTGGGGGCACTTTGGGAGCCTCCTGGGAGCTTCCTGGGAGCCTCTTGGAGGCATCGTGAGGGCCTCGTTGGGCCTCTTGGGGGTCCTTGGGGGCTTCTCGGGGGCCTCTTTGGCCGTCTCAAGGCATTTTTGGCCCGTCCGATTCCTTCGGAAGCCGTCTTGGGGGCCTGTCTGAGCCGATTTGAAACCTCCTTGGGGTGTTCAAGGGCCGTCTTGGAGGCCATCTTTGGTTTTTGGGAGGCTTCTTGGGCCGCCTGGGGGCCCTCTTGGGGCCGTTTGGGGGGCCGTCAGGGAGCTTCTTGGGCTATCGTTGGGGGCTCTCGTGCCGTTTCGGGCCGTCGGAAGGCCGAAAAGAAGCAAATGACGAAATCCGTTTTCTTATATACATATATATATATATACTAATTCTATATGTGTGTATATTTATGCACATCTATATATATATATATATAGGCATATCCGCACTTTTTTGGAGGCCCTTTTGGACGCCTCTTGGGCCGTCTTGGAGGCCTCTGGGGGGCCTCTTGGGCCGTCTCGGGCCATCTTATAGCCATGTTGGGCCGTCTTGGTGGGCCCTGGCCCGTCTAACGCCATCGGAAGTTGTTTGGGGGCCTCTCTGGGCCGACTGTGGGCCCTCTTCGGGTGTTCCAGGGTCGTCTTGTAGGCCCTCTTGGGCGTCTTGCAGGCCTCTTGGGCCGTCTTGGGGCCCTCCTGAGGCGGTTTTGGGGACCTTTTGGGCCTCTCTGGGGCCATCTTGTAGGCCTCTTGGGCGATATTGGGGCGATCTTTGGGGGCTCTTGGGCCGTTTCGGGCCGTCAGAAGGCCGAAAAGAAACAAACGCCCCAATCCTTCAAAAACCGAAGGATAAACAATAATTTCAGCCCATTCCTGGAGGCCCTTATGGAGGCCTCTTGGGCCCTCTTGGGAGCCTCTAGGGCCGTCCTGGGCCATCTGGGGGCTATCTTAGACCGTCTTGGGTGCATCTTGGGCCGTCTTGGATGCATCTTGGGGCCATATTGGCCGTCTTGGAGAGCATGTTGGCCGTCTTGGATGCATCTTGGAGGCCATCTTGGGCCATCGTGGCCGTCTTGGGGGGTTTGTTTCGCCACATTCCGCGCCTTCCGGTCCCTTCCAGGTGGCCGGCGGGTTGGGCTGGAGCCCCAGGGGAGAGTCGTTTTGGAAAGAGAGCCACAACCAAAACCGAAAGGATCCAGCACGCCGGGCACCCCTGTGGCAAAACCACAGGGAGCGGCGGATCGAAGACGCCTACGGCGAATCACCGCCGCCCCCTGCCTTTTTGGAAACGCCGATGTGGCCGAAAGTTGGACTAGAGCTTGGCCAAGCTATCGGACCATGAGTTCCCCGAGTCGGTTTGGAAAGCTTTCGGGGAACACATGGGAGAGAATGATTATGAACAGGAAGAGGAAGAGGAAGAAATAGAGTAGGAGGATGAGGGTTGTTAGGAGTCTCTTGGGGCACCCTTGGGGTCTGTTGGGGGCTTCTTGGGGGCCTCTTCGAGGCCTCTTGGAGGCATCTTGGGGGCCTCCTTGGGCCTCTTGGGGGCCTTTGGGGGCTTCCTGGGGGTCTCTTTGGCCGTCTTAGGGCGTTCCTGGTCCGTCTGACGCCGTCTGGAGCCGTCTTGGGGGCCTCTCTGGGCCGTCTTGGGGCCCTCTTGGGGCGCTTCAGGGCCGTCTTGGAGGCCATGTTGGGCGTCTTGGAGGCCTCTTGGGCCGTCTTGGGGCGCTCTTGGGGCCGTCTTGGGGGGCCCTTGGGCCGTCATAGGGCCTTCTTGGAGGCCTCTTGGGCGATCTTGGGGGCCTCTTGGGCCGTCGGAAGGCCGAAAAGAAGAAAACGCAAAAAAACTTCAAAAACCTAAGGAAAACCAATGATTTTGGCCTCTTCGGGCTCTCCTGGAGAACGTCTTGGAGGCCTCTTGGGCCATCTTGGAGGCATCTTGGGGCCATCTTGGCCGTCTTGGAGGGCATCTTGGGCCGTCTTGGAGGCATCTTGGAGCCATCTTACCCGTCTTGGAGGCCATCTTGGCCGTCTGGGAGGCATCTTGGAGGCCATCTTGGGCCATCTTGGCCGTCTTGGAGGCCATCTTGGGCCAAGTTGGGGCAACAAAGGCATTGACAGACGGATTTTGGGAAAATTACGGGTGGCCGGCGGGACGGGCCGAAGCCCACTGGGGAGTTCTTTTAGAAAAAGAACCAAAACCAAAACCTGAAACATCCAGCACGCCGTGCACCCCTGCAAGCAGGGGGCGGCGGATCGAAGACGCCTACGGCGAATCACCGCCGCCCCCTGCCTTTTTGGAAACGCCGATGTGGCCGAAAGTTGGACTAGAGCTTGGCCAAGCTATCGGACCATGAGTTCCCCGAGTCGGTTTGGAAAGCTTTCGGGGAACACATGGGAGAGAATGATTATGAACAGGAAGAGGAAGAGGAAGAAATAGAGTAGGAGGATGAGGGTTGTTAGGAGTCTCTTGGGGCACCCTTGGGGTCTGTTGGGGGCTTCTTGGGGGCCTCTTCGAGGCCTCTTGGAGGCATCTTGGGGGCCTCCTTGGGCCTCTTGGGGGCCTTTGGGGGCTTCCTGGGGGTCTCTTTGGCCGTCTTAGGGCGTTCCTGGTCCGTCTGACGCCGTCTGGAGCCGTCTTGGGGGCCTCTCTGGGCCGTCTTGGGGCCCTCTTGGGGCGCTTCAGGGCCGTCTTGGAGGCCATGTTGGGCGTCTTGGAGGCCTCTTGGGCCGTCTTGGGGCGCTCTTGGGGCCGTCTTGGGGGGCCCTTGGGCCGTCATAGGGCCTTCTTGGAGGCCTCTTGGGCGATCTTGGGGGCCTCTTGGGCCGTCGGAAGGCCGAAAAGAAGAAAACGCAAAAAACCTTCAAAAACCTAAGGAAAACCAATGATTTTGGCCTCTTCGGGCTCTCCTGGAGAACGTCTTGGAGGCCTCTTGGGCCATCTTGGAGGCATCTTGGGGCCATCTTGGCCGTCTTGGAGGGCATCTTGGGCCGTCTTGGAGGCATCTTGGAGCCATCTTACCCGTCTTGGAGGCCATCTTGGCCGTCTGGGAGGCATCTTGGAGGCCATCTTGGGCCATCTTGGCCGTCTTGGAGGCCATCTTGGGCCAAGTTGGGGCAACAAAGGCATTGACAGACGGATTTTGGGAAAATTACGGGTGGCCGGCGGGACGGGCCGAAGCCCACTGGGGAGTTCTTTTAGAAAAAGAACCAAAACCAAAACCTGAATCGTCCAGCACGCCGTGCACCCCTGTGGCAAGACCACAGGGGGCGGCGGATCCGAGCGGCCTTCGGCCCATCCCGCCACCGTGGCTGGGTTGTGGGTCTGAGGCCTCTTGTATACGTGTTGGCGTGTCGTGGGGAGCCACTCGGGGCCTCTTGGAGAGGATTTGGGCGCCTCTTAAGGACCTCTGGGGGCCTCGTGGGGTATCTTTTGGGCCTCTTGGGCGCGTCTAGGGTGCCTCCTAGGGCCCCTTGGGGCCTCTGGGCGGCCTCTTGGGGCCTCCTGGGGGCTTTTCGGGGCATCTCGGAGCGTTTCTTGGGCCATGTTGGAGCCCTCTTGGGCAGTCTTGGAGCCCGCTTGGAGTCGTCTTGGGCTGTCTTGAGGCGGTTGTGTGAGTTTTTTGTCTTGAAGCGTCGGAAAGCTGAAAGTGAGAGAAAACCGAAATCCCGCAACAACTTGTGCACAATCGACGATATTGGCCTCGTGGGGCTCCCTCGGAAGGCCTCTTGGAACGCTCTCGGGGCCTCTTGGGGCCTCTTGGGGCCGTCTTGGAACCGTCTTCATGCACCTTGGAGCACTCTTGGGCAATGCGAATATGGCGTAATTTGCAAAAGGTTTATGGCTTCGGGGACGCGAGAATTGTATAATTTACAAGAATATGTTGCCTCGGGGCTGCAAGGATTGTATAATTTGCCATGGCGTGTGGCCTCGGGAACGCGAACGTTGTGTCATTTACATGGGGTCGCGGCTTCGGGAACGCGAACGTGGCGCAAGTTACCCGGGATCGTGGCCTCGGGGGCGCGAACGCGACGTATTTTACAAAGGATTATGGTTTCGGGGGCGCGAATCTCATGCATTTTTACGTGACCCACACCCGCCCCCAGAAATTCAGACAACGCGCACAGGGCGTGGTAATTTGGCTGGTTTCGGGTTCCCCCCCTCGCGCGGACACTAACAGTTTACAGTAGGAAGCAGAAAGCAGGACTGTAACATTTAAAACTGGAAGCTGGAACTGGCGCAGGGAGCAGCAACCCTCACCCTCGCAGCCGCGTGGCCCCACAAGGGTGCCGGCGGATCCTGCAATCCTTTTTCGTTTTTTTTTTGTTCTCCTTCTCTTCCTCCTCCTCCCCCCTCCCCCATATGATCTTCGCCTTCCCCTCCCTATCCTCTCCTCCTCGCCCCTCGCTCCTTCTTCCTCCTTCAAGGATGTGGACGACGAAAAAGGGAGGGGGAGAGGGGGAGGAGGAGGAGGAGGAGGAGGAGGAGGAGGAGGAGGAGGAGGAGGAGGAGGAGGAGGAGGAGGAGGAGGATGCGAAGGGGGAGGAGGGGGAGCAGCGGCGCCCCCCGCACTCTTCCCTCCACCTCCTCGTCCCTCCTGCCTCACCCCGGGAGGCTCGGAACGGCAGAGGTCGGGAGCCGCGCGCGCACGCCGCCAGCGCGGCTGGGAAAACACCCGGAGAGGCCCCCAAAGCCCCCAGAGCGCAAAAAGAAAGCACGACCCCACAATTCTTGTACAATTGGCACGAAGTTCAAGAGAAACCACAGCTCTAGACGGGCACTCGAAGAACAAAACATGGCATGAACATAATTTCCCGGCGCTCCGAGAGATCATGTTGATGCCTTTCTTGGTTTCTTCATGTTCTTCGCGCTGCGGCTCTCCACCTCGGGATGCTCCTCGCTTCGGGCACTCTCGTGGGGCCCCGGGCCTCGGGCGAAGGGGCTCGTGTTCTTGCGCCCTGTTCCCGTTGTCACGCCTCGATTGTATTTTTCGTGGCGAAGGAGCTCGACCCGACCTCGGACAGAGGCCCAGGAGGGAAAAGTGATACAGACGCAAATCATCACAGGAGCATGGGATAATATGAGAAGTTGAGGGGAAGACGAAAATCCGTCAAATGTTGAACATTCTATGAATCCTGTGGTCCGTGCCTATTTATTTGTGTCCCCCTGGGCCCCTTGAAAAGTGCCCTGATTGCAGCCCCCGCCACCCTTGCCAGCGCCCTTGGGCTCCGCCTCTTTCCCCCCTCTGCCCCGACGGGCAGCGGCGAGGCGGAGCGGCGTCCGCACGAGCAGGGCGACGCCGCTCCGATCCTCGGGACGGGCGCCTCGGGAGGGCTCGGCCACGATCGACGATGATGATCAACGAGCGACGACGACGACGACGACGATCGACGATCGACGACGACGACGACGACGACGACGGCGACGCCTGGGGGATCGATCTCCGGCGACTCCGGCACGCGGTAAACATGGGTACGTATAGATTATTGGGCCCCCTGGGGCCAAACTACATCCACATCCACCGCAAGTTAGGGTCCCAAGACGTCGGCTCCCCAGGCGGCCTCTACACACCACCACCGTGCCTGGCCAGGGCCGTCCTGGGCCCAGGATGTTGCATGAGTCCTCCTGGCCTCGGCCAGTAGGGCGTACTTTCTTTGTCACAGCGGCGAGAGTCCTCACCGCGCTCGGGGGCAGCCGTGGGATACCACGTGGCCGAATTGGGCACAGCAGGCGAAGGGGGAGAAGAAGCGCGCGGAACGAGAGAGGAGCACGTTCAGGGCGTGCAGTTCTGGAACGTCTGTGCCAGAGCACGTGCACAGGGAAGATGCGGAGGTCTCCGAAGGAGCGGAACTCGATGCCAGGGCGTGTGCACCATGCCAGTGCCCAGGATGGCCCTGGCCGGGCACGCGTTGGTGGCGCATAGCAGCCCTCTGCCTACCGAGGGCCGCGCGCGCGCCGCTGGCGAAGGCGGTGCCGCTCGTCCCCTCCCCGACCGCGTCGACGTGCAGCAGCCAGGTCGCGGCGGGCTGCGACGTCCCCGGCGTGGGCCACGCGGCGCCGCCGTCGCGGCCGCCGCCTCCGAACGCCGCTGCTACCAGCTGCCGCCGGTAGCCTCGAGGGGGACGTCGCCGTCGTCGCCGCCGCGGCCGCCGCCTCCGGCCACCGCCCGCCTCGAGGAGGACGTCGCCGTCGTCGCCGCCGAAGTTGCCGTGGTCGTGGCCGCCGTCGTCGTTGGTAAGGTTTGCCTCGAAGCAGGCCTTACCAACGACGACGGCGGATCTGCCCTGGAAGTCCCCAGGATCCGCACTGGATCTTACCTTCCAGAGCGGGTCCCTGGCCCCTGGGGGCAGAGCAGGAGCCAAAATCACGTCCAAGAGCTTGCCAGGACCATGCAGGAGCCTCCCCCTCCTCGGGGCTCCAGGCCAGAACTTGGCTAGCAGTCGCGACCGTCGTCCCTGGAATTTTGTACGAGCTTCTTGGGCAGTGATGGGACGGCCTACGGGGCCTGCTGGGCCGTCCTGGAGCGTCGGAAGCTTGAGCAGATAATAGCCCCAGAAACAAGGACAAATTTAAGGAAAGCCATCGAATGTTGCCTCTCGGGGCCCCCTTGGGAAGGCTCTTGCGGCGTCTCGAAGGCGTCTTGGGGCGTCTTGGAGCCATCGCAAGCGTCTTTGGCCAATCGTTCCGCGATTCGGGACCGTCTTGGCAGATTTGAAAGCTCTGGAGTCTCCAGGGGTGCGCTGGCGAGCCCCGAGACCCACCCCCCGCCCCCCTTTAAACCAGATTTTGAACCCTGGGGGAGGGGGAAAGGGGGAAGGGGCCAGCCAATAATCTCACACGCCTTCTCACCTCTGGAAAGCGGGGGTCGGCGGATCTTCGAGTGGACATATGAAGAGGGAACTTAGAGGGAGGGTTTATTGCAACATCGTTGATGCGCCTTGGGTTTACACTGGTCCTCCTCCTCTCCTCTTCCTCCTCCTCCTCCTCCTCCTCCTCCTCCTCCTCCTCCTCCTCCTCCTCCTCCTCCTCCTCCTCTCAAGCCCTTTCGGCCCTGGCCCCCTTTTTTCCAGGGTTGCCCCAGTACCTTCACGAGGTGCTTGAGGAACTTCCGTGCCCCTGCCCAAGAGCAGGGTTTACGGTCGACCAACTCTGGGGCTCAGAACGATGACCCATCATGGCCGCTCCCCTGTCGCCGTCGGCGCTCCCTGGCGCCAGTCGTCGCGGCCCAACGGCCCGCGGCCGTGGACGCGCTGCCGAGGCTGCAACACCTGCGAGTACAACGACCGCCTGGACCCCTACAAGCCCGTCTGCCCGCGCTGCAACAGGCCTGTACGTCTCCACCGCGGCCGCTCCAGGAGCCCGAGCGTGCACTTCGGCGACGCCGAGACCACCGACCCGAACGGCAACGTCACCACCCAGCCTGCCAACGCTGGCGGCCGCCCGCGCTCTGCTCAGCGCGGCTCTCTCGCCGACCACCTGAAGCAGGCCCTGGCCATCGCCGACGACCCCGCGTTGCAGGCCGTCCTCCAGGCCCATGTGCAGCGCCTCGACGCCGCCGAGGACATGCCACCACGGGTCACAGCGCCTGGCGCGTCGCCACGAATCATCACCAGCAGGTCGTGAGCAACGTCGTCAGGCTCCGCAAGGCGTTGTCCGCGGCCGAGGGGAAGGAGCAGCTTGCAGCCCGCGAAGTTGCCCGCACCGAGCTCACCAAGCGGAGAGCGGCGGAGGCCCTCGCTCGCGCTGAAGGGGTCGGCGGCGGCGAACCGACCTCCAACACCACGGGCGCTCCCGACTCGGACAAGCCTTTCACCGTCCACTGGGGCCCTGACCTGTTCCGCCAGATCGACGAGCTCGATTTCACACCGTCCGAACAGCAGGAACTCAACACAGTCCGCGCAGGACTCGAGGAGCTCCAGAAGCAGTTCGCCACCAAGGGCCCCGAGATCACCGCCCTCATCCAGAGGGCTCGCCACATCCGCGAGATGCAGGAAGCCAGGTACCAGAAGAAGCGCAAGGGCGAGGACGGCACCGCCAGCGCACCTGCCCCCCCAGCGCAGGGAGCTGCTGCCGGCGCCCCCCCCGCAGGCCCCAGGCGCCACGGCCGCCGCTGCAGCCGAGGGCGCGGATGCCACGGCCAACGACAGCGCCGCCGATGACGCGGCTGCCGAGGAGGAAGCCATCAAGGCGGAGGCTGCCAGGCTCTCAGCCGCGCGCTTCGCAGCCGAAGCCGCCGCCGAGCACGCCGCTGCCGCCAAGACCGACACCGTCGAGGACCGCAAAGGCAAGGGTAAGGTTAAGGGAACCAATCCCAAGGCCTCGTCGTGACTAGCTTCCGACCCACCAACTACCGACACCAGCGACGAGGTGGTGTCCACTACCCCATCGAGTACATGCACTACACTCTTCTATGGGAATGTCACCTGCATGGGTCAGAAGGTCTATGACTGGATAGCTCAATCTGCATGCGACTTCGTTGGCCGAGTCGAGACACACATCTCCGACGACGCCAGCACCGCCCAATTGAGAAGCCGGTTTCGAGACATCAACAGGAGGCTCTTCGCCAATCCAGCCCCCCCTGCGACGCGTGACCAGACAGTTGGGTGGCCTGATTACATAGGAGAATCATGCGCCGCGTCTGCTTACGCCAACGAAGGCGGTGAATGGTTTTTGGCCAGAGGCCACCTGAGAGCTCGCCCTCTTCTAGCTGGAGTCCAAGCCAAGGGGATCAAACTTCTCCCCTCCTCTTGCCTTGATTGGCTCCTCCCTGTGGTCTTCCACTTCAAGGGGTACTCCATCGTTGCGGTCTTCTTTGACGCGCTGTGTAGCAAAGGCCTGCGAGGGCCGAACCTCCCTAGGTTCAGACGTCTTGGGAGCCTCCTTAGATCCCTCCAGCTGCCCAAGTTTGTTGTCGGCGACTGGAACACCAGTCCTGAAAGTTTGAAGCGCACAGGACTTTTGGCACAGATCCATGGGGAGACCACGCGCGCCCCCGTCGAATACACGTGCGACCCAGGGGGCGGACGTAAGCCATCGCATTTGGATTTTGTTGTTCACAGCGCAGCTGCCCGCCCCTACATGCCCAGTCTTACTGCGGTGCACGAAGTGCCGTGGAAGCCACGCACAGGATTGCGAATTCATTTCGTTTCCTCGGGAGAACAACTGCTCACCCGAACCCTAGGTCTGCCCCGACGGCCCCCACATGCCGCCAAGCTCCCTCGAGGCGCCACCCCAGGCCCCAAGGCCAGCCGTGCCCGAGCCGCTCGTTCAGAGCAACGCTGTAAGGTGGAGGCCCAGAGGCAGGCCCTTTTTGATGTTCTCTACGGTGACCTCAAGGCGGGAAATGACCCCGCTGAGCAGACCACCAGTGCAGGAGAATCCTCGGACGAACCCGAGGAGCTGTATTTCTAGCATCCTTCCGATGACGAGGAAGATCCGTGGGCACGCGAGAGCATCTTTGCGCCGGCCGAGCCTCAGTGCGCTTCGAACCCCGCCCGCGGCGAGTCAAAAGCCTGTGCCCCATCATGTCAGATCGCGTCTGCCTCGAGAGAGAATGCCCAGCTTGTTTCATCCGAGCCGTGCTCTGCTCTCTCTGCGCCCGACGCCCCATCTGAGGACGCCGCCCCCGTGTTGTCTCATGCTTCCGCTGTTTCTCAATCCGATGCAGTCGTCACAGTCGAACGGTCAGTTCCTGATATCAGATCAGGCTGTAATTCGGCCCAGCGTGAGACCCCCCCCAGCGAAGATACCGCCCCATGGGAAGCGCCTCCGCGCCAAACTCGAAGCCCCGAATTCGACGTCGATAGGGCCGCCTGGTGTGCCCACAGAGATCAAAACAGCGTCCTGCCTGCGGGGCGCACCCGCCCTGCCTCTGCGGTCACTGGCTCCGTCGCGTTTCGGTTCAAACCCGACACCTCACTTCAGTTGGGCCGAATCTACGGCTCGTGGATCACGACCGTCGAAGCTTCCATACACTCCCATCGCCAGATTCCATTCGAAGGCGCCTCGCGAGCAGCAGGCCCAGAGCATCGGATAACCGTCGTTCGAGAGTTGCAGTGCCGGCGAACGTCGCCAATCGCGGACACAGCCAGCACTTGGTCGACATCATTGCGCACCCTACTGCAGGCCATCTACCGACACCGTGCACGCGACAACGGACGCCTCCAACTCCAGCAGCAGCACAGGGCAGTCACCAAGCTCATCGACTCCCCACCACCCACGGCGCCACACATCATCGGTGACAAGGACGACCTCAGCTGGGACGGCTGGCAGACATTCTGACGACGCACCCCCGATCACGAAGTTGAGCACATCGTTGCCCACGCCACCAGAGCTGCACGACGAGCACAGCAACGGGCAATACGACGATCTATCAACACCTTCCGCGACTGGGCTGTTACCGACGACGCCCTCGGCACGTTGCACAGGTCGCTCAGACCCCATCCGCAGCCGCCAGAAGCCAGCACCGACGGACGCAACACCATCATGCACCCCAAGGACCTCATAGACGGCAAGCTCCACACCTGGCAGAAGCTCTGGGCACCAGATCGCGCACACATACTCAGCTCCAGGACAGCTTCCAACGCATCGTCGAGCGCATCCAGGAGTGCAGCCTACCCCCCCATCACCAGCGACGACGCCCGCGTAGGCCTCGAGAAGCTCAAGGCCAACACGGCACTGGGCGCTGACCGACTACGACCTTCCGACCTACTCCGACTGCCAGAGCCCGCACTCGCCGAGCCCGCCGAGCTCTACAGCGCCGCCGGGCAGGTCCAGATGTGGCCCCGCCAACTCCTGCACACGCTGGGCGTCATGAGGGCCAAGAAGGACAACGGCGACAGAATCCTGGGCTTGCTCACCATCATCACTCGCATGTGGTCCATCATACGGGAACCACATGTGCATCAATGGAACCACGACACGTTCGCTCACTGGGATGCCATCGCCAAGGGCAACTCCGCCTTTCGCGAGGCCTACGAGCGTAGCCTGCACGAGGAGATCACAGCACGGCTTGGAGTTTCCCAATCCGACGGCCTGCTCGACACTTCGCAGTT